GGCTAGAAATTTCAGAATCCACTCACAGAAGCATCTACTTTCAGACCACCAATATATAGAAAATTCCTAACCTCTGTGAGAAAAAAACATTACCTTATAAAACCAAGAAAACAGTACTCATATTACAAGATGAGACCTAACAAGCTTCTTCTAAACTTGAAACCTAGAAACTAAAAACCAGAAAATGTATCAATGAACAAAGTATCGGTTCAAGAATCCTTGAGAAGAAGAAGTAGCTTCTGAAGCTTCCTACTCTCAAATGTATCTATATGCAAAACGTAAAACACATATATCGAGAGACAGAGAGATGGGGAGTGGCAATTCAGAGAAGAAGTTGCGCAAGTCCACGAGAGAGAAAGTGAAACAATTCGTCTCCTCACTTCTTCCCGAAATGATTCTAGGATGAGATATAGGATGACGAGATAGCATGCCTATCACAAGAGACGCAGACATCCTTGTTGTTGTTATGGCAGAGACTAACGGAACGGTAAGAAGAGGGGTGCACTGATAAGAAATTCGAGAAACCTGATTTCAATTTGAACCGAATTTCGGATTCTCGAATTTCGATTTTAAAAGCGCCCCTTTCTAACCACAACAACAACAACAATATCGTTCTGCACGTCTCTGGGGGTTCTTTGGATTCATTGAGATCCAAAAGTTCAAAATCTGAAGAGAAAAAAAAAGATCTTCCGTTGCGGGGAATCGAACCCCGGCCTTATGGGTGAGAGCCATAAATCCTAACCACTAGACCACAACGGAGCGTGGGAAAAGGAGGTGGGGAGTGCATAGACATGGCAGGGGGTTAGAATGTAGGTCGGTAGAGGAGTCAGGTGGCAGCTCGTGTTGTAGAAAGGGGGGGGGGGTCTCGCCGCGAAAAAGCGGTTACTGTATGATTTTTTTTTGAAGGATTTGTCTAGAAAATTCTGGGAAAGAAGCATTCACTGGACAAAAACTGTTGAAAATTGAATAATGAAAGTTTGCTATAATGATAAATTTTTTTTCCACCTGTAATCGGGAAAAACCCGAAAAAAAATGGCGAAGAAGGCGATAATTTTTTCAAACTACCGCGAAAACTGATTTCCTACAAACTCAGCTCGTGTAGTCTGCGTGGACAATATTTTTGAGTAAATTCAAAAAAAAAAATGTTTTTCAACGTTTTTCTACCGGCTTCACATCCTTTTTTCAACAAAAATTTCGAAAAATAGTTACGAAAAACTTGAGAAAAACCGTTTTTCAGATTTTTCGTGTCGAAATTTCTGGAAACATTTTTTTGAAGATTTGTTTTTTTTTGCACAGATTTAAACTATTCAAAGCTTCGAAAGCGGAAACTAATCAACGAAATTCGCGTTGAAAGTTCCAAATCAATCAGTGAAAGTGGGTGGTGTACCCAAATGATAAAATGGATATCCAGAAATCTAATTCGAAGTGTCTCATAACCACAACAACAACACCATCCATACCTCCCCCCGAAATCTCATGAATTCGATTCGGGGGAAAAATGAAACGATGTCAAAAGTCGGTCGGTTTAAAGGCGAAAACGAAAAGGACAAGATGAGGGAAATGAGGCGAAGAAGAGTGTCTCTTTCCCTCCATGTTTTTTGTTCGAGATGACGATCGGGATGAGAAGTGATGACTAAACGGATGTGAATGACTTACTGAATTGACCGGAGGATAGAACGATTCACTTTTCAACACCTTTTACAAGTTTAGAAAAAAAAAACAAAAAGAATATTCCGTTGCGGGGAATCGAACCCCGGCCTTATGGGTGAGAGCCATAAATCCTAACCACTAGACCACAACGGAGCGTGGGAAAACAAGGGTGGGGAGGGCATAGACATTGCGGGGGGTTGGGAAGTAGGTCAGGGGTAGCAGTGGTAGATGACGACAGAGATGCTGGAATAATGGGAAACTCCATGAAGGAAACGCGCTCTAATGATAAAAATGGCTTGGAGGCATTTTGAAACTTTATTACTAGGAGACTTCGAAACCAAGAGATTTTTCTAAAAGTCCCGGGACGAAATAGCCTAGAATAGATGGAAAAGTTCGGAGCTAAAAAAAACTGAAAATTCTGGAAACCAGATTTTCAATTTCAGAAAACCTGCTCAATTTTTTCAGCCACTCTTCTGAAAACCAGCAGATCAAATGAAAAAAAATCTCGCCATTTCCCTCTACTTTGTCCCCCCGCCGTCTATCTTTCTCCACCCAATTCATAACAAAAATCCATTTCCTCCCAAAAAAAATCTTCCAAAAAAAATCCAATCTAGAAAAGTACTATTTATACACGAGAAAGTCGTAGAAATCATCGGACGTGACTCAAGAGTTTATGGGGGTATCGTTTTGGAGGGAAAGGCCCCCCTGTTGACCTATGAGAAATAGCATTGAAATCAGAGGAGACGCAGGGATGAAGATGGTGTCAAACACAAATATCATAAATGGTTATAAGCATTGGTAGGAGAAGAAGTCGGAGATTGGTTAGAGGGGAGAAAGTTATTTGATTTTCTTAGGGGGAGGTGTTCTTGTAGGAAGTTTGCAGAGAGGGAAAATAATGGTGGGCAAAAAATGACGTGGAAAATGTACTTTTTGGAGCCATATCTATTTTTGAAAACTCAAACCGTATTTTTAGATGTTTTTCTAATCATTTCTATTAATTGGAATCTCTGGTTCTTCGCTAATACTGGAAATTATCAATGGAGCGCACATTCATCAACGAGGATTTTCCAAAGCTTCTTCCTACACATAGCCACTGCCAATCCACCTCTCTCTACTTCTTACCCCCCCCCCCCCCTCTTTCATTAACCTCCTCTCTCTTGCGCCGCCACTCCTCCCCCGTGGCCTAGTGGGTAAGAGCTTTGACTCTCACCCACAACACCCAGGTTCGATTCCTCCCAGGGTAAAATCTTTTTTGTTTTTTCTTCTAATACTTTTTATCGAACAAAAACTGAAAATCAAAAGCCAAATGACGTGTTCTCTCCCAAACACACACAATCGAGGTACTCAAAAATCATAGAAAAATCCATTGAATACCCCAGTGTGTGCATGTGCACAAAAAGGGGTTCAGGTTATACGGTTGTGTGTGTATATGGGGGGCCGGAATCGGGCTCTCTCTCAATTGCCTCTCGTTGTCGCCCTGTTTGGTTGTGGTGGTTGGGTAGCTCTTTTTGTTGTGAGCTCTCGGCCTCACTCGGGAGCTCCCGAGGAGAGAATTTGATTGAGAGGTGTGAGTTGCAATTCGAGGGAAGAAAGAGAGAGAAAGAGAGAGAGAGAGAGAGAGAGAGAGAGAGAGAGAGAGATCATCGGTTAAGAAAGGAGCAGAGTGGATTTTAAGAAAAAAAAACTCATAATCCATCTGTTAATCCGTTTATCCAGATGTCCAAACCCCAGAAAAGTCAGGGAAGAAAAAAGGAAAAAGGAGACAATTGACCAGATGGAATCGCAAAATGCCGCCCGGCCGCACAGTGGTGGCCACTTGATGATTTTTCGGTATGAAGTGGTGTTTTCGCACACGCCGGATAGAGGGAGAAGAGAATTAGACGGTGAGATGGATATCTGGACAAACCTTGGGATGGATAGAGGTGTCTAAGGGACTCGAAAGGTTTCAGGTCACTTGAACAAGCTGACAGGGCCTCCAGACTTAGAAATCGAATGGATACCGTCAAGAAGAAATTTTAAAGTCGCGGACATCTGGATATTCGGATTCTTTAAGGAAAAGTCAGAAAAGATTACACGACTAACTGGTTGTATCGTACAACCACCCTTTCCCAATAAGCTTTTGTCCAATTCTTGACTATTCAATTCGGTTTTTTTTGCTTCTCAATGGTCTTTTATATACTGAACAAACATTCCCTCCCCTTTCTCCCCTTCTGTCTCCTTTGCCACTACAGATGGTTTTTTTTTTGTCGAGGGTAGTGGTGAGCAATAGGCATGATGTCTGGGATCTATGGGTTTATGGAATCAACCGAAATTCCACCTGTTAGTTCGTTTATTCAGATGTCCATACCCCAGAAAAGTCAGGAAGAAGAGGAAAAAGGAGACGATTGACCAGATGGTATTGCAAAATACCGCCGGCCGTTACGGAGCAGTATATCTCAGTTGTCTTTGAAGCTATCGGAAAACTTTTAACTAGCAAAATGTTCAACATGTTTTGCTTAACATTTTTTTAGTTGACCACCTTTTGATAGCTTCAAAGGCAACCGAGATATGATGCTCGGAACATGCAGTACTGAGTGACCCCTCTATTGAAGTTCATCGAGTATTTGATGTTTGAGGCAGTATACCTCGCTTGCCTTTGAAGCTATCAAAACATTTTTAACTAAACAAATGTTCAAAATGTTTTGTTCAACATTTTTTTAGTTGACCACGCTTTGATAGCTGTAAAGGCAACCGAGATATGCTACTCTAAACATGCCTCACTATAGGAATTGCGGCAAAGAGGTTGGGCGGGAAATTTAAAATCGGGGGCTTTTATACAAATTCCAGAGGAAAACAAACTGAAATATTCACAGAATTCCAGAAAAGTGTGATCATAAACATATCGAATTTCTATATCATAAACACCACGCCCACATGGGAGAGTCAAGAGGGTTTCGAAATGAGTGGGAGCCAATAACATAAACAAATAGAAGGTGTGACGAAATAGTGAATATAAATTCATGCGGATTGGAAACTGGAAAGCAGAAATTGGGAAAAAAATTGATTTAAATAAAACAGTAAAATCAGAAAATCACAAACTTTGAACTGGCCCATCGCATAAAATAGGCTCTTTTATGTTCAGAGCAGCATATCTTTGTTGTCTTGAGAGTTATCAAAAAGTTATTAACTAATAAAATGTTCAAAATGTTATGCTCAACAATTTTTTAGTTGATCACTTTTTGATATCTCAAAAGACAACTGAGATATGCTGCTCCGAACATACAATGCTGCAAGGAACATGTCGAATTTGGTGCTCTATGTTCGGAGCAGCATATCTTGGCTGTCTTAAGAGCTAGCAAAAAGTTGTCAACTAATGAAATGTTTGAAATTTAATGGTAATTATTTTGTTAATTGACAATTTTTTGATAGCTCTAACGGCAACCCAGATATGCTGCATGCAGTACGGGTTTATTTTAGGTTTAACCGAAAGTGCGAAACTTTCTGCTCAACCTAATACTCTGATTGAGATTTAACGGTATATTTGAAGATTTCAGTTCTCACAAAACAATTTTTTTCTGGAATTTTCTAGACCACTATTCATTTTCTAGATTCTAGATGGAAACTGTAATCCCATTCTGCCAACAGAACTAATCTTCCACTCCCTCCCCTCTCCATCCTCCTCCACAAAAGAAGAAATCGTCGTCCGTTCGACGGGATTTCGGAATAGATTCAATCAGCCATATAAATGGTTATATATGTATCCATATATACAACAAATTCTCTCTCTCTCTCTCTCTCTCTCTCTCTCTTTCTTTGCCTATTACTGATGAAGAGGCAATAGGAAAGGTTTTGTATTGCAAATTGAAAAGCGTTTAAAGGGACATAGAAGTGTAGGCAAGTGATGGGCAAGTTGCCCAAGGCAAAGTTACTTTTTTTGTAGTTTGTTCTCAGACATAACAAAAGTCAAAAAGTAACGGATATTAATAACAAAATGTCGTGAGAGTATCGAAAGTGAAAAAGGAAAAGAAGAGGAGGAGGGAGGAACAAATCTGGTATTAACCTGGTTTAGAATAACGGGACAAACGGTGGGGGGTCAAAGAAAGAAAAGAAGAAGGAAAAAGAAGAAGATGGAGAGAAATCCAAGGAAAAGGGGATAAAATTCTGGGTTTTAGAGGTGAAGGTACCGTAATTTAGCCTTTGGATTTTTCGGAAAAATGGGGGAAATTCAAAAAACGTTATGAAGTTTGTCCGGATGAAAATTCTGTCCAAATTCAGTTCGTCCAAATGCCCATTCTCTCCAGAATCTGTTTTTCCGGATGTTCATTCTGTCTGGAATCTGTTCTTCCGGATGTTCCGTTATGTTCAGAATTGGTATGTCTGGATGAAAATTCTGACCGAATGCCGTTTGTCCAGATGTCAATTCTGTCCAGAATCTGTGTATCCGGATGTCCATTTTGTCCATAATCTCTCAGTTCAGATAAAAATTCTGTCCGCAATCGGTTTTTTCGACTGTCCATTCGGTCAAGAATCTGTATGTCCGGATGTTCGTTCTGTCCAGGATGTGATGTCCGGAGGAAAATTCTGACCGGATGTCATTTGTCCAGATGTCCATTTCTTCCAGAATCTGTATTTCCGTATGTTCGGTCTATCCAGAATATGTATGTCCGGATGAAAATTCTGACCGGATGTCGTTTTTCCAAATGTCCATTCTGTCCGAAGTCTGTTTTTCCGGTTGTCAATTCTGTCCTGAATCTGTTTGACGGGATGAAAATCCTGTTCGTTTCTGTCCAATTAAAAACACATAGCAAAAGTACAATCATTTATTTTTACAAAAGTACAAAAAAAAATCCAATTCTCTTTTTTTTTTTGTTTTGTTTCAGTTTTGTTTCCTCCTTTTCGATGACGAACGAAAAAAAAAACCAAAAAAAAACGAACGAAAAAGGAAATCGCTTTGCGAGGGAAAATACCTCGAAAAAATTTATGTCGTCAATTAAAACGCAAGAAACGAAATTTCCGCAAAAAAAACTACCGTACTCCTTTTCTTCCTCCTTCACTCAGAATTCCAGAAAAATCCTTTTTTGATTCGAAAAATTTTAATTTCCCCCGTGACCTTCCCCTCAATTTCAATTAATAAATCAATGAAATCAAAACGTGGCGCCCGGCAAAAAAACGAAAACAAGGGCATCTTGATAAGAATTCGTCATAAAAGGAATCGATATCCTTGCAAAAAATCACTTTTATCCTCTCTCACTCTCTCTTGGGGGAAACTGCTCCAAAGAACCGAACCCCACTCAAACTCGCCGAATCAATTGACGAAAACGAACCGCCGATTAGAAATCAACTCACTTTAGAAGATGCGCTGGAATCATCTCATTCTTGCACTCCTCGGAGTTTGCATTCTCTCGAAAAGTGGGTAACGGTTCAGCAGAATTTTCAGCTAATCAATATTTTTATCAGGCGTCCACAGTTACGTCGACGCTGTTTACATGGGTGGATATGTTCCTGGCGATGATGACGATGGCTATGGCAATAAAGTGGTGACTCAGCCAAACAATCAGAATGGTTAGTCAAGAATCTGAGCTTGCTGAGCTTGCTAACCACTGTTTTATAGGTGAAGTCCCCACTCCGGAGCCCACCGACTACGGGTTCCCAGATGGAATTTGGGACAAGATTGGTGTATATAAAGGAGTTACCGTGGACAACGGAGGTGGCCAAAACACCATACCTGACTTATCAGCACCAGATGATTCCAAGATCCCCGGAGGACCATCAGACATTTTTAGTGGACAGACTGATGGCCTCGACCAACCTTCTGTCGATGAGGCGACCACACCTGACCAATCAGTACCAGAGAATCCCGTGGATCAGGAGACCACACCTGAATACTCAGGTCCAGATGGTTCCGAGACCACCGAGGAGCCCGTGGACAACGGAGGAAGCCAAAACACTCAGACTGATGGCCCAGACCAACCTTCTGTCGATGCTGAGGCGACCACTCCGGAGGACACCTTCGGCCAAGGTGAGGAGACCACACCTGACCAATCAGTACCAGAGGATTCCGAGACCACACCTGAACCAGAGGACCCCGCTCAGCAGACTGACTCTCCAGCTATCAATCACCCCGCCCCGGTAGATGAGACCACTCCCGAGCCAGAGGATCCCACAACGGAGCCAGCAGACCTAACAGACGCTCCTGCTGCCGAAGTGGAAACGACTCCAGAAGACACTGTTGAGGAGACCACTGAAGATCCATTGGCAGTTCCCAATCCGGCTGGAGGTTCAGGAACCGGTGGTGTTAATCAGCCGACCACCGAGGATTCAAGTGTTGACGAGACATCGGAACCGCCGGTTGATGTGGAGACTACTCAAGATCCTTTTGCAGTTCCCGTTCCGGCTGGAGGTTCAGGAACTGGTGGTGTTAATCCACCAGGACAGTCAACTACCGACGCTGCTGATGTGGAGTCGACTACTGACTCTGATCCCCTCTTCAAACAGAAAATGGCTAACGCAAAGGCTGTTCCACAAGGACCATGGGGAAATGGAAAGGTGTACTCGACGATTGCTCCTTCTGTTCTGGATACTCTTCCTGAGGATACAGCTGTAAGTTTCATTGATTATGATTTGTTCTAAATCTTTATTTTCTCAGCTCAAATTCCCACCAAACATGCTCCCAGGTCAAATTCCACTGGATAAGCTAACTGATGAGTACGTTGTCATTGATGGACAGGACGATTGGAGCAAAGTTGTGGCCAACAAGCATGGTTTCTTTGTTCTCCACCCGGTTCAAACCACTGGAAACAATGTCATCTTTGATCCGTACACCATTGGACAAGTTCTCGGATACATCTATGAGGTTAGTACCTATCCCTTACCCAACTATTCTGATTTTTCAGTTCCAAGAGTTCAACGGACAACCACCGGCGGATGGATGGACCATTAATCTCATGAATAAGCCTATTCCACAACCGGTCAGAAGAAAGCGTTCAGAAGGTGGTGTCAAGTCTCGTCGTGCCACTCTGGTGTTCACGAAGAAGGCTGATGTTGTCGCCAAGGAGGAGGAGCACGATTACTGGAAGAAGGTGATTGCATCGATCTGAAGGTTGTCTCTCTACCCCCAACCAACTAATGCCACCAGAAAAGAAGCAACTTCAAGCCAGCCATCAGTTTAGGACTTTCTATTTTTATTATTGTCTGTAGTAGATTTAGAAGTGAAATGAAAAAGTTTTGAAAATTATTCTGTTTTGTTTTGGAAAAAAATAAAAAATCAATAAAAACAAAACGTGGCGCCCGGCAAAAAAACGAAAACAAGGGCATCTTGATAAGAATTCATCATAAAAGGAATCGATTTCCTTGCAAAAAATCACTTTTATCCTCTCTCACTCTCTCTTGGGGGAAACTGCTCCAAAGAACCGAACCCCACTCAAACTCGCCGAATCAATTGACGAAAACGAACCGCCGATTGGAAATCAACTCACTTTAAGAAGATGCGCTGGAATCATCTCATTCTTGCACTCCTCGGAGTTTGCATTCTCTCGAAAAGTGGGTAACGGTTCAGCAGACTTTTCAGCTAATCAATATTTTTTATCAGGCGTCCACAGTTTCGTAGACACTGTTTACGTACCTGGAACTGCAGATGGCGACCTTGGCGATTGGAATCTTGGTTAGTCAAAAATCTGAGCTAGCTGAAGAACTGTTTTATAGGTGAAGAGACCACTCCGAATTTCCTCAACGTCCCTGAAATCCCAGATGGAAATGGAGACCCGTCTGGTTAGTTGGGAATTTCCCCTGTCCTGTATTCTTCTTCAAGTTTACAGACAACACCAACAGCGGACCACTTCCAGTAGAGACCACCGAGAAGCCCGTGGACAACGGAGGAAATCAAAAGCCTCCAGCGCTCCCTTGGTGGCAAACGGACGACGGAAAACAAAAGACCACAGCAGAGGCGCCGATTAATATCCGAGACCTAACTCAAGCTCCTGCTGTCGATGGTCAGCAACAGGAGACCACACCTGAATACTCAGGTCCAGAGGATTCCGAGACCACACCAGAACCAGAGGACCCCGCTCAGCCTACTGACGCTTCAGCTATCATTGGCCCCGTCCCGGTGGCGACTGATGCTCCAGAAGTAGAGAAGACCACCCCCGAACCAGAGAATCCCTCAACGGAGCCAGCAGACCTAACAGACGCTCCTTCTAACGAGGTGGAAACGACTCCAGAAGACACTGTCGAGGAGACCACTGAATACGTTGAGGAGACTACCGAGGATTCAAGTGGTGACGAGACATCGGAACTGCCGGTTCATGTGGAGACTACTGTAGATCCTTGGGCAGTTCCCGTTCCGCCTGGAGGTTCAGGAACTGGAGGTGTTAATCAACCAGGACTGTCAACTACCGAAGCTGCTGATGTGGAGTCGACTACTGACATTGATCTCAGCTATCAACAGAATATGGCTAATGCGAAGGCTGTCCCACAAGGACCATGGGGAAATGGAAAGGTGTACTCGACGATCGCTCCTTCTGTTCGGAATGGTCTTGATTGGGAGACAGAAGTAAGTTTTATTAATTGATATGATTTGTTCTAAATCTATATTTCCTCAGACCGGATACAAACCAGACGTGCTCCCAGGTAAAATTCTACTGAATACTCTCACTGATGAGTATGTTGTCATTGATGGACTGGACGACTGGAGCAAAGTTGTGGCCAACAAGAATGGTTACTTTGTTCTTCACCCGGTCCAAACCACTGGAAACAATGTCATCTTTGATCCATACACCATTGGACAAGTTCTCGGATACATCTATGAGGTTGGTACCTACCCCTTGATTCCCCAATTATTCTAATATTTCAGTTCCAAGAGTTCAACGGACAACCACCGGCGGATGGATGGACCATTAATCTCATGAATAAGCCTATTCCACAACCGGTCAGAAGAAAGCGTTCCGGAGGTGTCAAGTCTCGTCGTGCCACTCTGGTGTTCACGAAGAAGGCTGATGTTGTCGCCAAGGAGGAGGAGCATGACTACTGGAAGAAGGTGATTGCATCGATCTGAAGGTTGTCTCTCTACCGCCACCCAACTAATGCCACCAGAAAAGAAGCAACTTCAAGCCAGCCTTCAGTTTAGGACTTTCTATTTTTATTATTGTCTGTAGTAGATTTAGAAGAGAAATGAAAAAGTTTTGAAAAAGGTTTTTGTTTTGTTTGGAGAAAAACAAAAATATTGGGCACCCCATGGAGTCGAACTTGCGTCTTAAATTTCAAAAACAAGCGCGTTAACCACTACGCCACGACTGAAGAAGTTGAAAGACAGTTAGAAGGCCAACAAATTGTTGCGCGCTGTATCTGTCTTCTTCTTCTTCCAAGCGGTCCAGGATATGTACTTTCGAAGAATAACGGTGTACCTCACTTCGATATTGAAACTTTTCAGGTTTTTTCCATGTTGAAAAAAAAAGCAAAAAGGTTGGGCACCCAATGGAATCGAACCTGCGTCTGAAAATTCAAAAACAACTGCGTTAACCACTACGCTACGGATGATCGTATTGAGGAGCAGCTAGAAGGTTAACAAATTGGCGCGCACACTGCTTTCTTCTTCCAGAGCTGTCCTTGCAATTTTACTTTGTATGTTCCGTCCAAGTTTGGGATTTTTTTAAATTTTTAAATTAAAATTGTTTTCACTGTCGTCTGTCAGCTTCGAGAAAAAAAACAAGGTGCTAAGGGAGTTGGGGGGGGGGGGGCCACCCAAATTTTGGCACTTGGGCACTGGAGGCCTAAGCCTGTTTTAATAGTGGGGTATAGAGTTTCTGGAAGTAAAGCGAGTTGGCACCTTATAAAAAAAGGCTTAGTAAACACCGAAAGAAGCTTTTTCAGGAAAAAGTCGATTTTTTCCCAAAAAATCGATTTTCAGCCAATTTTTGCTTCAGCTGAAAATGAGCTCCGAATGATTTCTAGGTGCTCGCAAATAGTTTCTAGCACGTTTACAATAACTCACGTACGTGTTCCTGTAAAAAAAGATCCCAAAAATAACTCTGCTGTGACAAAATTGTGGCCCCCCCAACTCCCTTAGCACCAAAAACAAAAAACATGGGCACCCTATGGAATCGAACCTAGATCTAAAGATTCAAAAACAAAAGCGCTAACCACTACGCCACGACTGATCAAATTGCCTTACTGTTAGAGGGCTAACAAGTTGTCGCGGACACTGCCTTCTTCTTCCGGGGCTGTCTTTGCAATTATAATAAGGCCAGTCCAAGCTTGGGATTTTTCAATTTTTCTACCGAAACTGTTATCATTATCGTCTGTCAGCTTCGAGAAAAAAAACAAAAATAATTGGACACCCCATGGAGTCGAACCTGAGTCTAAAAATTCAAAAACAACTGCGTTAACCACTACGCCACGACTGATCGAATTGACATGCAGATAGAAGGCTGACAAATTGGCACGCCTTTTTCTTCCGGAACTGTCCTCTTGTTGTATGACCAGTTCAATTTTGAAAATTCCCACAAATTGATCATTCCAAAGTTCAAATCACCTCTAAGTGACGAAGTAATGTCTGACATACCCAAAAAATTCATAAGGAACAAAGCACTCAAATATAAAAAGTTTCAAAAACTAACCCCTTCCCTTTAAACTACTTGAAATCGTTCATAAGTGGCCGAAGAAGGTCACCCCGTAGCCCCTTCACAACCCCTCTTTTCATCATTTACCGGCCATGATTCTCACCTATTTCCTTCTATTTTTCTTTCCGACTATTTCAATTTCCCAATATTATAACCCATCGATTTATCAAAGTTATCTGAATTCTCAAGCTGTACCCCGTCAGCAGACTGTTCTAGTGCCGGTTTACACCCAGGCGGGGTATGGTGGAGCTGGTTATGGGGGATATCCAAGTTATGGAATGAGTTATCCATCGTATGGGATGGGATATGGAATGGGATATGGAGGAGGTGTTGGTGGTGGATATCCGATGATGGGTGCTCAATGTTGTGGAGGTGGTGGGGTGAGTTTTGAATTATCAACAGAGCACAATTGCTGATCGCTTGGTGCTTAGCCCTGCTACTTACAAAAGTTTGGCTGGGTCCCGAACTGTCATAATGAAAATTCGAATTTTCCAAAAATTGTTTTCTATGAAAAAAATAGAAAAAATGTTATTCCAGATGATGATGCCGAATCGGGAAAGTAACGCGAAGAAGTTCCTGCGAGGTGCGACTGAAGGAGTATTCATGGGCAGTATTGGCATGCTCGGTTTCACTTGATAGCTAATTTTCTAATTTTGATTTTAACTTCTTTTTTGCAATAAATTCCTTTTTTTTTGAGATATATTCTGACCGTGGTGTGGTATGCAAATGCGCTCCGCTGAGAACCAAAGTTAGACTCTTTTGAATTAATTTTTACGTCGAAATCTGAGCATTTGTTGAGTTTGGAAAATCGAGTGCCCATAATTGCATTTAGTTACGCCTGAAAATTCTACGAAAAAAGTCCTAAAACCCAGTAATTCGAAAACTAGGCTAACAAAAATTGTATCATTCTCGTTTCTCAGTGAAGCGCGTTTGCATAGTACGTTGTTGGGGACCCTGTGGATTACTCACACTTCTTAAAAACTGTTTTTCCAAAATCTATTATTTTTGTTAATTCCCGTTCGTTTGAATAAAAAACAATTTTTTATTCTCCATTCCAAATCATAACGTGACCCAACACAGAATCGAAAAAAGATAAGATCTCAAAAATATTAGTATAAAAGAATGCCGTTTTAACAAAAAAATCAGTTTGATAAATCAATTCGAACCGACAACCACTCTTACGCATCAATCGACTTCACGATGAGCAAGCGCTTCGTCCTTCTCCTCCTCTTTTTTGGTTCGTTGTTTCCAGTTCCAGGACTATCGGGTGCCAACTAATTCTATTTTGCAGTACACTTGGTCACTTCTTCTGCAATCCTTACCAAACGTAGGACAGCTGATAGTAAGGAGAGAATCGTTAAAGATATCAACGAAAGACGAATCAAACACGCCAAGGAGAACAACATTGGAAACATGCCTGAAGTGGTGAGAGCCTAACACATTGTTACATATTTATAAATGCATTTTATTTCCAGAGCTACGATTCTGACCTTGAAAAAATTGCACTAGAAATGTCAAAAGGCTGCAAATTTGATAAAGGAAATCATGTTTTTGTTAATTATGAGGACGAGGTTACCGCGTACTTTGAGGCATTAAATCCACTTCAGACACAAGTCGTTTGTGTCGATTTGACGGTACCGTGCACAGAACGTAAAGTTGAGAAAGGGTTCTGCCTCTTCGGCCCAAGGTGAGTAGGTAGCCTTATAAAAACTGCCACAATTGTGAATTTGTTCAGCGGCGAAGCATTTTCGAAAAAACTCTTCAAAACTGGGCCACTCGGATCTCATTGTAGTCATGGGACTGCTGATAATGGATTGTGCAAGGCTGGACCAAAAAATGGATCGAATAGTCAATTGAACTTTTGGATCTTTGCAGTTATTGCTGCTTTTGTAATTATGTCGTATTTGAAATAAACTATTGTTTCAGAAATGTGTCCAACTAATGAAACGATCACTGCCGGGTGATGAACAAACTTAGAAAATGTGTTGTTTGATAAAAGCAGTTCTTTGAAAAAAAAGCATGTTTTGATGGTTCCACAAAAGTAATGCTCCACCCACAAAAAAGTGAATTGAAAATTGAGATTCATTGAGAAAATTGAGAAAATTGAGATTTTCTGAAAATTGAGATTCAAAAATAAGAATGGAAGAATAAATTTGTGGATTACTGTAGCTTGAATTTTCAATAACCTTTTTAAAAAGTCAATTTTTTATTTATCGTTAACTAGCCGTAACGTGACCTCACACTGAAACAAAAAAAGATAAGATCTCGAAAAAATTGGTATAAAAGAAAGGTGGTTCAACGAAAAAAATCAGTTTGATAAATCAATTCGAACCAACAACCACTCTTACGCCCGAATCGACGTCACGATGAGCAAACGCCTCATTCTTCTTCTCGTCTTTTGTGGTTCGTTTTCCGTTAAAGGACTATCTGGTGCCAACTGTTTTGCTTTCAGTACACTTGACCACTTCTGCGGCTATCCCCGGAAAACGTGATACCGCAGAACAAAAAGAGGAGATGACTAAGAGATTAAACCAGATGCGAGTTTATCATGCCAAGATGGGTGAAATTGGAAACATGCACGAAGTGGTATGAAGTCTATGATATTTTTTCTTACATCTTATTGCTTTTCAGAAATATGATTATGAACTCGAAAAGGTGGCAAATTCAATGACTGGAAATTGTGAATTCAAGAATGGAGATTATACACTCGTTAATGCAACAGACTTGTCCTCTTTTCTGGAAAAAATGGATTTGGATGAACTTAGAAAATATAGTAGCAGTTTTGCCGAAGCAGTAGTTCATCCTCTTCAAACAAAAATTGCCTGTGTTGAATTGGTAGCAGCATGTCCAGCTCGTGGCGTCGATGAACGAGGATTTTGTCTTATTGGCCCTCAGTTAGTTTATATTCTTTCGGCGGCAAATGGACTCTTTTTTGCTTTCAGCAGCTCTCCACCAAGTGAAAATGACTCTAAAAAAGGACCAATCGGATCTCATTGTGATCATGGACTAGCTGATAATGGATTGTGCAAGGCTGGACCAAAAAGTGGATCGAATAGTCAATTGAACTTTTCGATCTTTGCAGTTATTGCTGCTTTTGTGATGATTTTCTATTAGAAACAAAAAATCAATAAATTATTCTTTAGTCACAAAGTATTTTTGCTTCATTGCATTCTGCTTAGAGCGCAACTACCCGATTGAACTCTCTGATTTTCGCAGTATCTGCTTTTTTTGTAATGATTTTTCTTTAGAAAAAAACTCAACCATTATTAGTTTTGTATATGACACAAAAAGTCACAGTAAATATTTTCAAGCTCTTCTAGTAACTGTGGTAGGACAGGATCAGTTACAGGGGCCTTTCGTGCATTTTCACGTGAGCCTGTTGCAGCGCGCTGTGTTTGCGGACCCTGTATAACTGTATTACATAGTTCGCAAACACTGTCCGCCGCAACGCATTTGCGCAAAAATGCATGCTATTTCTCAACTGCTATATTTTGCTCTTCTACTGTAGATCAACTGCTATTTTCGTCACTTTTGATGCTTCAACTGCTATGGCTATTGTCTCATATGCTATAGCAGTTGATCCATAGCAGAAGAGCTAAATGAAGAAGATGGAACACTAACAGCTACAGCATAGTAGTTGAAAACCCCCCTTACAGTTGATAAATAGTAATCGATTTCATGGCAGTTGAGTATCTACCGTACAAGACACTTGTTCACAAATGTTACTTTTAAAAAGTAATTTTTTTATTTTCCATTTCTAATCATTACGTGACCTCCCACAAAAGCGAAAAAAAAGATAAGATCTCGAAAAAATAATATAAAAGAAGGGCGGCCCAACAAAAAAAATCAGTTTGATAAATCAATTCGAACCAACAACCACTCTTACGCATCAATCGACGTCACGATGAGCAAGTGCCT